TCTTGTCTTCAGAGCAGTGGTAAATAAAAACTCCTACTCTCAAGGCTTATTTAATTGCTGCTCTAGTGATTTATCCTATTTGCTTTGAGAAAAAAACCTCCTGCTTCTGTCTAGTGTGGCAGAGCACATGCATTGATGAACTAGCAAATTAGTCACAAACTCTTAAAGGCAAAAACTAAGCGAACTCAGAGAAGACGCAGCGTATTAAAGGCAATTCTCATATTGAAGATACTGTTGAACCTCGTGTGAATTTGAGTTAAGAGTGCAATAGACAGAAGACAAACACCATGCCTGGCCAAAAGCAAGATGTTTAATGGGAGAGGTCCTGTTAAAATCAAGAGGTAAAAGAATTAGACCATCAGTGCAAGGGTGAAGTAACATTCCCTTGTATGTGACCTACTGGAACATGCAAGAATGGCTGCTCTGGAACTTTGATACAAATGAAGAGTGGAACAAAATCTCTTGTGTTCATTCACAAACAAAAGCCAGCATTTGCAAGATTTGTAGCCTGAACATACACTTTGTGGGTGGTCTAAAAAATTCAGGCCAAGTGTGGTTCTTGATTGTAATGGTTCAAAATATGTGGCAGAAACAAATATAAATCATCCCCGGAGAAATCACTTTTAAACAAGCTCTAAAAGAATTCTTACAAAGTTCTAATACATATTAATTCTCATTTCAAAAGTACGAAAAGCAAAATGAAACAAGCTGTTAAAACCAACATATTCAGACTTCAGAATACTTCATGTATTGAAATTAGCAAAAGAAGCTATAAAACAAATATGTTTAACATGCTTAAAAGAATAAAAGAGATTAAATACATGGGTAAAGAGCAAGCAACTATAAAAAGAAGTCCAAACTCATTTGAGAAGGAACCAAATGAAACTAAAAATATAAAATATTTGAGATTAAAACTGCAATAGACCATTTCAGATTAGGTATAGCTGAAAAGAGAATTATGAACTGGAAAATATGTTAATCAGAATGTAATACAGAGGGGCAAGGAAATAGAAAATATGAAAAAGTTGTGGAAAGGAGAAAGTCTAATATTCATCCCCTCAGAATAACAGCATAAGAAGGGAGCAAGAATGGGATAGAGGCAGTATCTGAAAAAAATAAGGAACGAAAATTTCCCCCAAATTGCTGACAGACAGAAATGATTACAATCAGAATGCATGCAAAGAAACCCATACATATCACCGTGAAGCTGCAGGACACCAAAGACAAGGGAAGATCTCAAAAGCAGTCAGAGAGTAAAGTCAGGTTACTTTCAAAGGAAAGACAGTAAGACAGTAAATCCTCAAAAGCAATAGTGAAAACAAGGATTCAGTGGAATAATATAATATCTTCAAAATGCTGAAAGAAAATAACTGTCAATCTAGAATTCTATACCCAGCAAATGTGTTTTTTAAGGTAAGCATGTTACCTGCAGACCTTCATGAAAGAACATTTTAAAGGCATAAAGAAAAAGATGTCAGGTGAAAGAAATATATAGGTGAATAAATCCAAAGGAAAAATAACTTCATAAAATAATTAAAATAGCGTTTCATGAAGTTTATTCAGCTACAGAATTCAATTAAACTATAGTTAGAATGAACAACAATAACAGCCCCCAGTAAAAACTGAACAGAAGGTGTATGGAGTTAAAGTAATCTAAGAAAGAAGGTAAAGATACTGGTAAATTTTAGACTTTTATATAGTTGTATTCCAGGGACAGCTACTGAAAGAAGAGAAAGAATATAAAATCTCTAATCTCAAAACGGGAAATAATGTAATGAGAAAAATAAGAGCAATCTTAAAGAAGATGAGGAAAAAAAGAAACATAAAATATTTGCGGCATAAACAGAAAGCAACATACTTAGAAAAATAAGCCATTTTCATATTTATATTAATGTAAATGTAGTAAAGGTTTCATTTTAAAGTAAAAGCTCATTTAACTACATGACATTTATAAGAGACAGTCAGATAAAACATGGATATTTTCAACACAAAAGCAGAAAGTAAAAGGATAGAAAAATATATAATGTGATTCTTAACCCATAATTTCCTTAAAGAGAAAACTGTGCCAAAAATATACGTGTAATGCCAGATACTTTTTGTGTCTTAAAGTATCTCTTATATTACAAATACGGGATTACAGGCTTAGAATCGCAAGCTGCCTAAGTTTGTGTTTCTTTGATGCTTTACTGTGTCTCATTTATGACTTAAGGCTGTCAACACAGTTTCCTAGCAATCAAAATCACGGGTAGTGTTTATAAGGTGATAATTTATTTTACTGATGTATTTACAATATTCCTCTCTGTCAAAACAGACTTATTTCATTTAATTGTTCAATTAGATGAGCTGGAATCAATATGTAATTGCTTAAAGACAGCACAAAGTGTTAAGAGGAAAGCTTTAAAAGCTTTTTCTGGTGTGGAACTAAATATTCTTTTTTAGTTCACTTGTTAGAAATGATTTAAATGATCTTTTTGACTTAATGCTATTTCACATTTAACTGGAGCTGTTGCACTACAACTTTCCACATAAATCCTACTCATATGTAAAGGGAAAAATCCAGTTTAATCCTTAACTGTAATGAAGAATGCTTTAACATTTTCATCAGAGGATTTTTCTAGCTTAAATAAATATAATAATATAACTCAAATAAATGAATAGGAGGATTTGAATTGGAGACAACGTGAAGAACAGTGTATAGAATTGGAATGAAGGGTGACTTTTCTTGAGATGGAAAATACACTTAAACTTCACATGACTTTGTGTCAATGTTTGTGCAGATAGAAAAGTCATTTTAATGGATGCAGTCTTAGAAATCAATCCCTAAACTTTCATGCATCGATAATTCAATAATCTATCATTATAGAATATGAATTTTACTATGCAATGCTGACACAGTCCACTAATGAAGAATTATAAATTATTTCAAGATGTGGATATTGAATGATTGGAGAGGACACCCACTGGCAAAGTTTCATATCAGTATGGAAACATGTAAATTCATGTTTTAGCTAAATTAAAAAATATGGACCTAACAGGTTAATAGCAAATGGCAGAACCCATGAATGTTAATGAATTTCAGATTTCTACCTACTCTTCTACTCATACAAGTGGAAGACTGTGAAAAATGTTATTGTAATTAGGAATAATGCAGTATACAATTTACTGTCAGAGGATGTTACTAATTTTGCATTTAATTTCCTGAAATGTCAGGAATGAATACTGATAAAGACACAATCCAGATACACAAATTGATCTTTACTATGAGAGTACATTAATTTTTCCCCTTACAATAAAGTACATATCATCTGTGTTTAGCAAATTGATTTGAATTATTCATGCATAATCAACATCTAAATCACTGTCCACAAACAAATTATTGGTGTTCACATTTGGGTTCAGGTACTCATTGGCCATTAGGTGTAATCTAACAGCCAATGAGTACCTGGAGCCATTGGAATAATCTGTATTTTCTGAAGAAAATTATTGCCCTGGAAATGGTCAGCTAAAGGCAAGGCTTTCAGCAGCCCAGTCAATTATTTATGAATATCAATTAGATTCCTCCTGCCGTTTCACCTAACTCATGAGAGGCTGACTCACTGACAACAGGGAGAGATGGTAAGGATGGAGGGACTGGCTTGGGCAGTGTTAGGTTCTGCAGCTGTTCTAAAACGTACTTGGGATTTGTTTCAGTCAGGTATGGTAAGACAGAAGACAAGGAAATGATGATTGTGAGGAAGAAGTTTCCACTCATAGATCCCTGAAAAGAGGAGGCACAGCACAGCATAGCACACAGGGCCACATAGGGAACTACCCAGGTTGGTCAGGAGACAGAAAGAGGGAGAAGACAGAGCATGCCCCGAGCCTTTACTGGGGATTTTGTGGGCAGGAATGGGCAAAGCAGGCTGGCATGCTGAGTAAGCCTAGGACTGGATAGTTTGAATAACTTTGGTGGGCTATGGGCTATAAGGAGTGATCCCTAATTGTCTGACACTTGGCCTAGGGGTGATGTAGGGCAGAGGGAACACTGGCGTGGTATGTGAGAGTTTTTAAAGGAGATGTTTGGGATGCAGCTGTGAATTGTTGGCATGTATACAGAAAGGGGGCTAGCAGGAGTGTCGTTTGCAATCTCTAAAAATTAGCTAGCTCTGAATTTCCAGGATTAAGGCTCCAAATGCCAGAACATCAAGAATACAAAAAATAGGAAAATATAGTCAATGCAGCTATCTTATCTTTGTCATCAGGCTAAATAAATTGATGAATCACTATTTATCTAGACTGAAAAAAATTAGCAGAGTTACTAGAAAGTTAACCATGTATATCAGGATTGCACAGTGCTGCTTTTGGTAGCATGTTTATAGTTTAACTTTCCAAAAACAAAATTCTCACAATGGTAAAAAGAAAAAAAAGTGGCTGACATAAAACCCATCTTCTTATTAAGATAACTTAAAAGAATGACTCTGCTGGCGACAGACACACAAATAACCATATTGGCAAGGAGTTAACAAAAGATATTCAATGAATCAACGAGGAATGGAGTCATCTAGTATCCCTGGCACTTACTTTCCACATCCTCAATTTGAAATGGTTGGGTCAGGTGGCCACAAAGGTTTCATCTAACATCATCACCAAACATCTCCTCTCTCTCTCTCTATCTCTCTCTCTCTCTCACACACACACACACACACACACACACCCTTCATTGTACCCCAGTATACTGCCTTCTTAAAATGGTACATTGACTATACAGGCCCGAACTTTTGTAGGCGCAAGCAACTTTTATGCTTAACACATCTATATTTAAAGGATTTCTCAGGGACTTTAAAGTGTAATTGGACAAGAAGATGGTTTAATCCAGTTTGTTTGTAACCTCATGCTTCATTAACAAAGCAGGTGTCTCCCACTAATGTTTCACTTGGACGATATAAACTTGTACCCAGCACAGGTCAAAGAAGGTACCTAAGAATGGTCTCCTATAGGTCCTAAAAATAACTTATTCATACCTTAGCGGTATCATCGCCTTCATCTTCATGCACTGAACTGGATGGTGAAGGAGTTGCAGACTTGCTTCCAGGTGGAGATGGTGAGTTGTGGGGAACATTGCTTCCTCCCATATTCAAACCAAGTTGAGCACTTAGCTGTGACTGGTTAATGGTAGTCAGCTGGCCATGTGGCATCATTCCTGGCTGCTGCCTGATGTCTGCAGGCTGGCCCCTTGGTCTCATGGCTGCCATCTGAGGATGGGAACTGTATTGAGCTCCTTCTGGGTTTCGTATATCTGGCATCTACAATAAATAAATAAATAAATAGGAAAGGAGTAATTTTCAAAACATGTTTTGGGCAAAAAAGTAATAATTCTTTAGATTTCCAGATGTTCTGCTGAGTCACATACACATTTATTTTATCGGGGTAAAATAATCCTAAAAGTATGTATCACCCTAGAGGACAGCATAAGACTACCAAAAGAATAGAATTTGAGAATTCAGTTAGCATCATACTTCATTACTTGAGATGTGATTAATTAGATTTACAGTCTTTCTATGCTAGTGAAATACAGAAATATATTATTTATATATGTATTTGTGTATTATATCATGATCATATTTATATAATGTAAATTTCAAGATGCTGATGCTCATTAGAGTGTCTGTCAAAATTATTCAATTATTAGTGATTACAACATTCACAGCAATTCATTAAACCCTGTTTGTTTTATCTTGATCATTTAAGAAAGGCTTTGGGAGTTAATAAGTGTACTCTTGTACTCAGTTTAAAGTTTTACAGGGTATTACTAGCCAAAATGATCTCCTAACTACCAGATTCAAAACACTGATAGGCTGGTATTAACCAATTGATTGACTATTGAAATGACTACACAGTCAGACTTGAAAGTAAAGCTCTAAAATTGCAAGGTCAACATATTAATCCATTATGCTATCTGAGTCACTGGTTTTTAGCCTTAATGAGACTCACTCTTGTAATTCAAGCAATGAATTTTGTCTCTGCAAGGATTAGAATTAAAAGCATTGGAGGATGAAGCTCTTAAGGTATCTAGAGGTCAAATGTGTTGTATAAGAGGAGTATGGTGAATTTCACTTAACATTTCTCTGGCATTTTCAAACTTAAAATAATGGAGAATATTTCATGGTGCTTATAGGAGCAGCTCAGTTTTTTCATCCCAAGGGGGGGGTTGAGGAATTCAGGCAGGTAGAGAGCACACAAAACAAGAGAGAAAAACAAGAAGACTGTGGGGGAAAAAGATCTATGGTTAAAGTTACACGTTGGAAGTGAAAAAGTAATACTGTTATCTTATTCTGTTTCATTAGAAAAGAAAATCCCACAAAGTGTCAGATGTTTGGCAATGACCTGTCTGCAAATGTTGTTGTGACATGAAAATATTGTGAAGGCAAATTAAGTAACCTAGTCATAGGTTCTTGTTTTTGTTTTTATGATAATAAAATCATTTTCCACCATTTTCCCTCTAGTCATTTTACCAATCTAGTTAGATTCACCTAAAACTAAAATTGAGGCTGTCCAGAGTCCCCATATGTGCCCTGTGTTCTTCTCTGGTACACATTTATTGCCTCCACCATGAGGTCTCTTATTAGTCAATTTCACTCCTTTAGATCCTTTCCAACTTTGGTTACTTCTCAGTCTTCAGGCACAGTTCAAGGTATCCTAGACCTCCAGCTGGCCTCATGATTTGTACCTGCCTTTTCTAAGTCTGAACCAACATTTTTTCCATTATCCAAACTGTATTCCTCCAATCCTTCCAAAGTAGTTCAGGATTCTCCCTTCTGTGATGTCCCTCATAAAGCAGCTTTTACTATTCAATGGTACATGCAAGAGCTGCAAAGGCTGTTGGTGACACCGTCGGTCTATGGAAGAGGAACACTGGGAGGGGGTGATCATAGTGCAAGCTTGTTGAATGTTTGTGGAATAAGGATATAAATAATTATAAATGAATAAATGAAGGAGTAAAACCCAAAGAGATCAAATGACTTGACCAAAACCAAAGATAAAACCCACCTCTCCTAATTCCAGTCTTTGATACTTCCCACTGTATTAAGCAGCTGATTCAACATTTTACATATTCCATAAAAAAGATTACAGTTAAAGATAATTAAAAATACCTTTTCAAATGTTGTCTACCCAAATCAATAATGGTTTTATCTAGCCCATTCATGTTGCCTTCAGTCACATTTACTAAAATGGTTGTTGCCTCTTCTTATATGTACATGTAACTTCTACAATCTGATCTTCTTTATGAAGTAGTACTAGCTTTCACGGATATCCTTAAAGTTGTGCCAAGGACAGAGAGTACCATGAAAATTAGGACTGACTTTTGAAACTACACAGAAGAGACAGTGTATACTAAATTTCTTTTCAGGCCTACTCTCAAAAGTCCTCAAGTCCTATATGTTTTTAGACCTTTAGCATGTAGAACAGCTCCCATTATGGGCACAGAGTAATGGATATCCGTAAGTGGACACTATCCTACAACGGGCAGTCTTCTTTCCCAACCCGGCACCAAATAAAGCACTACTGTGCATATTCCAACTTATATGTTTTATAGCCTTGTAAATGAAAAGCATTTACTAGCAAAATCATACTTCAACTAAATGATCTTTCTAAAAGTATGTAACTAATTGCTATCTTTATTTCTCCTTCACATAAATCCCAAGTTACAAAACACGTACAGTCTGTAACATATCTGTTTTGAGCCCATTTCTTCTCATCCTTTCAGAAATCTTGTGGTTTTAATATATCAGAGAGGATGGTTTCTAAATTAATTTTCATATGGAGTTCCAGATTTATGACTACAACTAAAAGTGTTCCAAAAGCTTGAAGCAATCTTCACTTTATCACACCTTCTCTCCTCCACTGTCTTGCAATCTTCGAAGATGTTTTCTCATGTTAATTTGTGTAGTGGGTAGATCTCTGGGCACTAAAATCTGCATTTCCACCCTTGCACTGGAAGGAGAAGAAGGTGGGTGTGGCTATGGAAGAGTAAAGTATTAATTTGGGAAAGGAAGGTGAAGTACTCAAGAGGGTACCTCTCGTTCCACAGTCTCACCATTAGTTCAACGTATCCTGTCACCAGTGGTGTTAGGTCAGGCAGACAGCTTGAATACCAACTCAAAGCACACTTTTCCTGTGTGGAGCATGGCAAGCACAAATGAGGGAGCATATCTGTATCTTCAGTCCTCAGATGCACTTACAAACAGTGGGATCTTAACATCCATGGCAACATTTCTGAATTAGGAGGAGTATTTCCATTTACCTTATTTTCCTGAAAGGCATTTCAGTATTAATCACTGCCTAATGTATAATATGGGGAAAATTAAACTCGATAAAGTTTGATTACTGAAAATATGAATAATTAGTTAGATCATGCAAATAAGCTAATGTTTTGATTATTGGTTTCCTGCTGTAAAGGTATTGATTGACTACAGCTACATCATGTCAAATACAAACCCTGAAGTAGCAGAATATTATTTCCTGTTAATCACCAATATTTTAAATATATTTTGAACAATTCACTTAAGTCATGCTGAATTGCAACGGTTGTTCTGATTCTTCTCAACTCCTTCACTGACTTCTCTTTTTTCTACAACACCCCACCTCTAAGTGATTCCTTAACATGTTATTCTGAGTCACATTTCTTCCACCCAGATAAAATTTGCCACGGTTTTATTAATGGGAAATGTTCTAAACTAAAATGTACAATTCTGACCCAAATTCCAAGCCTAATTCTGCAACTGCTTGTGAGACATTACTACTTGAACATCATTCTTGCTAGAAATGTGAACAAAGTTTTCTTTCTCAAACCTATTTTTTTTTTCTGTCTGACCAATATCTGCTGATGACACCTTCATCTTCCTTGTCACCTCTACTCAAAATGTTGCCGTCATTTTTGACTCTTTTCTTTTCTACCAAACTCTTGTGAGTTCTGTTGGGTTTACCCTAAAACATCAATTATTTCCATCTGCCCTTCCACCCATTTCCACACCCATTCATCTATCTAGGCCTTCATTACCTTTTCACTTGCAATAGCTGCTTAACTAAAATCGGTCTCTTTACATCTACCCCAAAGAGTGGTACAAAATTAATCTTCATGAGCCATGGGCTCAACAATTCTCTAATGACATCTGTCCCCCAAATTAAATACAAACTCTTCAGCATGACACGAAACCTTCCAAATGAAACTCACGCCCTATAACCATCCCTCATCTACTCTATTGTTCAGTCAAACCCAATTAATTGCTTCTTTTTTACCTAAATCTCTCTCCCTTAATCATGTGTCTTTGTTTACGCTGCTCTGTCATTATTCAATTACCATTTTCCGAGAATTTGCTGTCTAAAGTTGTTAAAAAGAGGGGAAAAACCCCCATAGTTTGCTCAGTGATTTGTGGTTTGCCCAGTACTTCTACTTATTGATCCTTATAACTTCCCTTTGAGGGAGCCATGTAGGAAGAGCTGCTTTGCACAAGCCCACAGAGAGGTTAAATGATCTCAGATCTTTCTATTAGCAAAGACTGAAGTAAAAATGAAATATACTTTTTTTACATACTTGTACTTTTCCCACAATTCCATGATGCCTTTACCATCTTCATATATCCAAACCCTAAATATATGTTAAAGTCAAGTTCAAAAGTCAGCTTACCTATAAAGTTCCAAGAACCTTCTGATTCTGAACTGCCAAAGCATTTTGTTTATACTTTCTTTATGGGATACCACTTTAAAATTTATTTCTCTAATGTGTATTGTATCTACCTTCTAGATAGTAATCTCCTTGATTAGTTCATGACTAATGCATTTTTCAATCCCTCTTGAGATATCTTTTAGTTAAATGGTATTCTAAATATTCAAAAATATTTGCTGTGTCAGTGTGTAACTAAGGGAATGAATTCATCAGTATAAACTGACTTTAACCAGTCTGATGATTTTTCTTTTTTCCTGGGAACTTCTTAGTCACAAGATGAAAATATTTGATTAATGTCCGTTTCCCTTAGTGGCAGAAACCTCAAGCTACCCTCCTACACTCATTTTCCTTTTGTGCTGAAAAATGGGCCCCTCTAGCTGGCTCAAGGAGGACATTTGTAGCTTCCTTTGCAGCTATGCATGGCCCTGTGACAATGAAATGTAAGTGGAATCCTTGTGTGGTGCTTGCAAGAAGTCTCGTTGAAGGGAGGGGCTCACCTTCCTTTGTTTTTCTCTAGTTCCTGCTGGCAAAAACGTGGAGATGATGGAGAGAGCTAGGGAAAATGTCTTGGACCAAGAC